GTCACCACCAGTTTATAGTTCGATATGTTCTCGCGGTCCAGGGCTTTGTCCAGCACCAGGGAGTAATAGTTCTTGAAGGTGGACACCAGCTTGAAAGGTACTTGGGGTGTTAAAGAGCATGTCACCTGGCCATCAGCTCCAGAATCTCGGTCAAACACATTAATCAAAGTGATGACTGTGCCAGGTTGAGCATCCTCTGAAATAGGGAGAGACAGGGAAGTAACAGTCAACTCTGGAGCATTGTCATTAGCATCCAGAACTTCCACAAGAACTGTGCAATGACCAGCTAGTGGTAGGGCGCCTTTATCAATTGCCTCCACTCGTATTTTGTATGCTTTACTTTCTTCAAAATCGATTAGTCCTATTACTGTAATTCTTCCACTTATGGGGTCTATGTAGAACCTAGATTTTACATCTGGAGAAACGTCACTAGAGAATGAGTAAATGATATCCCCATTCAAGCCTTCGTCTAAATCTGAGGCGTTTAGTTTAATGACCAACGTTCCGTTAGGTGCATTTTCTGGTAGTTTCACTGCGTAGAGTGCTTTGTCAAAAACCGGAGCATTGTCATTGGCGTCCAGCACTTTCACTAGTACCTGAACAGTGCCAGTCAGTTCGGGTTTGCCTCCATCAGTGGCCGTGAGAGTTAAATGAAGTTCCGGAGACTCTTCCCTGTCTAAAGGTTTCCTTAATAAAAGTCCGAGAGGTTTTACCTGTTCGTGGTTGGTTGGTACGTCCAGAGAGAAATATTCATTGGGACTCAGCCTGTAAGTGAGCTGAGCATTCTCCCCGATATCTGCATCCGACGCGCCCTCTAGTGGAAACCGAGAGTCAAGCGGCCTGGATTCGGCCATAAACAGATTCTTTTGTGTCGCAGGGAACACAGGAGAATTGTCATTGATGTCCTTCACCTCCACCTCCACGTGGAAAACCTGCAGCGGCCTGTCCACGATCACCTCCAGGTGGAGGCTACACTCCGCGCTCCGCCCGCACAGCTCCTCCCGGTCGATCCGAGAATTCACAAACAAAATGCCATTCTGCAGATTTACCTCCAGAAGGTCGCCGCGGCCTTTGGACGCCACCCGGAACAGGCGGGGCACCAGGTCGGCCAGCTCCAGCCCCAGGTCCTGGGCGATGCGGCCCACAAAGGTGCCGTGTTTGGCTTCCTCCGGGACCGAGTAGTGGATCTGACCGCTGCCCGCCTCCCAGGCAGCGATAATTATGATAACCAGCAGTAGGTTCCGGTCTCCTGGGTCGCCTGGAGTTGAGTACAACATTTCTAATAATTGATTTTTTATTCTAACCAGCATAACTTTTTCTAAATTTAGAAGAATCCTCTTATTCTTTCTTTACCATCCTGATGAGCTCGCCATTGTTCAGCATCCCGATAATGAAAGAGTGTGCTGGCTTTCCAAGTGAAAACAGATGACTCAGTTTTGTTCAATATGAGAGTATTTCGCGATAAAGAGCGACATCATGTGGCTCAAAAAGTAAGCACGAATCTAAGGTTATATTGACAAGATACTATTGTTTATCAACCTCTGAAATTTCCTCCATTTTTTTTGTTAAATTGTAAGATAATTTTTCTCACTCCTGCTAGAAGTATTTGGGGGGACTTTGTGAAATTTTAGTGTGACTATGACTGTGGTTGCATTGGAAATACATTTTCCCACAACACTTTAAAATAAAGACAAATACCTGAATGATGATAAAGCGAATCACAGTAACAATATTAAGTTAAAAATCCTTTGTTGTAGAATTCTGGAAATTCCATATAGTTAGATCAGTTCCCCCCCTTGGCCTCAAGAATCTAAAATTGGATGGAAAACTTAGAAATGGTAAGATAAAGAACACAAGCAAATTACATAGATGACTTTCATAGCACAACACAATAACAGAAAGTTTTTAGGATCTCTGAGTAGGAATAATTTGTATTAAGTGAATTTCAGGAGGAGGAAGTATTCTGAATATCTCTTTCCATCCAAAATGACATATTCCTTTTCAGGAATTCATGGTTTTCTATCTATATATTCTGAAATTTCTTTTAGACATCATAGTTTACAAATATCTACCTGCTTTTACAAACTATAGTATGGTTTAGAGTATGCATTTTATAAGTACATTTCATTAGATCATTAGATAATTGTTGTTGCTCATCTGTCACATTTGAACCAGCCCTTTAACCCAGCTGGGAAAGTTTACCTTTTTAAATTCTCGACAAAACAAGACAGCAAGTTGTCCTCTTTGGGTTATTCCCATGTACCCATCCTCAGATAATTTATTATATTTGTGTTCCAAGTTTGCTATCTGCCTAAATGATAAATAGTGCTCTCACCCCCAAATAACTGCAAGTTTCTTAATGTGTCATCTCTTCCATACCAACCTCATTTAACCTCTCACGCTGGCAGTCATTTTCCACATTTTAATAGCTTTGAAGTAACCTCTGAGATGAGGAAAAACTTCTTAAAGTTATCCAAGAGATTTTTTGCACCACTTTTCTTACCTTATCTCATAACCTTTCAGATGAAAGCCAAATATTTTGACCACAGTAAAATATTCCCTCTTGCAGACACTTTGGGCATTTTCTATTTACTTATGTTCTTCTATTTGTGATAATATCTACTATACTTAATATTCTCCCAGAGAAAACTGAGTCTTCAGGAAGCCATCACAACCATTATAACCCCAAAAGGCTTCCTTCATCAAGGGGAATGGTCAAGAGAATGTTTTCCAATTTGAACACAGCAATTACATTTCATATATCACTTAAATTATTTCACCTGCTGTTATAACTTGTATAGCTCATTTCTTTATTTTCTTTATTTCTTTATTTTCTATGAAATTCCTGAAATCTTGTTAATTTAATGATACTGGACCCAGAATCATGGCCTTAAAGACCTTCCTAGAAACTATAAAAAAATGTTAACTCAAGGGTGATAGCCATGGTTCTTCTCTATTCCCTAAGAAAGCACATTGCTTTTAAGGTTGTTCAACATTATTACATAAAGTATAATCTTTATTGATTACTACATCAGCAGCTTATTTTGTCAGTCCCAATGTGATTATTTATTGTGTATTTATTTTTTAAATCCAGGGCAACAGCCTTAATGTTTTCTGCACTTCAAGAATGGAAACTCAGTCCTTTGATGAACTTTCAGCAACCTTAAAATGTGAGAAAATATACCATTCAGTTTAATATCCAATATTTCCTAGGAAAACATGAACATAAACACTAAATTCACTTTCAGTGAAGCACTGAGGATCAGCAATGTAAATGTCATTTTTCAATCAAAAAAAGCTTCCCGCTACCAAAGTATTAATTAAATTTTCAGTTTTGAAAAATTTATTTTTAAAAATGTCTTTTAATATAGTACATGGCATATTTTCTTTGTAGAAATCCTTGAAATGAACTGGGGTGGGACGAACACACTGGACTGTGGTGATGGCAGAGGGGTGAATTGGTGATGGGAGGCCCATGGGGATAAAAACTGAGATGAAAAACGCCCAAAATGAAGAATGATGTAAAAATTATACATAATAAAAAAAGAATTATAAGAGACCAATATTAGAGAAAAAAAATCCTTGAACTGCCTCAATGTTTCAAACTGTATATAATCCTCATTAATCAGCTCTGAATTTGGGCAACTTTCCAGAGCTATCTGGAGGCTGTTCCCAGGCTTGAGTCCTTAGTCTTGATTTGTGAATAGACTGACTTCATTTTGCTTGCCTCAATTTATTTAAGCCAACAATAGAAAATTTTATCAGATAGTTATGATTTAGCTAATACTATTATAAATACCTTACAAGTATCAATTCACTGTGCTAGGTATACTTTAGAGATAGATATGGAACCCAGAAGCCAAACAATTATCCAATGATGCACAAAATAAAATTGGTATGAGTTGCATTTAGGTAAGGTAGTATGGCTTCATCATAACACTTGGGGCCTCCCTGGTAGTTCAGGGGATAAAGTCTAAGGCTTTCCAGCTATTTCCAGTGAGTGCAGCACAAGTTCAATCCAGGCCAGAGAGCTGACCTACATGGCACAGCAGACCTCTCCTTTCTTGCCACTGCTCCCCTTATCAGTGTATTCCAGTATATCTGCCTGTTCTGCTCCCTGCTGTCTTTGGTGAATCCTCTCACCCCTACCACTGGCCTATACCCCAATTCTGCTATATATAGATAAATAAAACTAAATCTATTTTTTAAATTCATAACACTTAACATGACTGTCAGCTGCCTTCAAGTAAAGATAGAGTGAGTAGCAAAACCAGAACACAGAGAAAATAGTGAAAGCATTCTTAAAAGAAATAACCCTTCAGGTGATGTAATCAATATATATTTTTAAAATTTTAAAAGTTTACAAGGGACAAAGCTTAAGTTCACTAATTCTTATATGATTTAAAATGTGCTAGGTAGAAAAAAAGGTTTAAATTATCTAAAATAAATATACTTCCAATAAAGAGTTAAAAAGAAACATCACATCATTTGTAGCCTAAAATCTTTGATCTTCTTCCTGATTGTCATTTTGTTTCAGGAAGGAAATTGGGATTCTCCAGAGCTCACTTTTAACAAACACAACAATAAGAAACTGCAAATGGGGTTCATTAAAAGTGCTGTATTCTCATAAATGATACTATAGAGAGAAGGCAAACTTGAAAAAGAAGAAAGAAAAATAATCCTTTATAAGTCACCCACCAGAAAAATTCAAACATAAAGAATTGTAGTTTCTAAGGAATTCAGATTTTTACATAATACTTGATGGAATTCCAACTTCTTTCAACTATTGTTTTTGCATATTTTCATGTCTGATAAACTGAGTGAGTGATAAGACAAGTCACAAATAAAAACCAAATGACATCTTCACATTCAAACATTTACCCTAATCAGAACTATTCTACATGATTATTGGTGTTCTTTTCTTTATATCTAAGTGGTTAAAAAGGTCGACAATAAATGAGCACTATAGAAACATAAGATCCAGTTTCAGACAAGAAATGAGATACACTGGGCAGAATCCTTACATGAATGATAAACAAAAATTTACCAATATTTTCATCAAAAGTCAGCAGAAAAAGAAGAAAATGAAAGGGTAAATGCATAAATAATCGAATTTTCAACAAATTGTCAAAAAATAGTACATGAGAGGCCCACCCTGGTGGTACAACTAGTTAAAGCATAGCACTATGAAGCTACCACAGCCACTGCAGCACTAGTTTGATCCCTAGCCAAGGAAGTGACCCAAACAGTGTGGCAGACCTCTCCTGACCTATCCGCTGCTCCCCTCAGCAGTGTTCAGTCCATCTATCTGTTCCACTCCCCACTCTGTCTCTGGTGAATCTTCTCACCACCACTCCCCTGCACCTCTGGCCTGTACCCCAATTCTAAGCATAAATAAATATTTTTTTAAATTAATACATGAGAAATAATCTCCCAAAATACAAAAGCAAGAAATAATATATACAGAATAAGTAAAATACTACTACTGATAAAAAAATAAAACATACCAGGTAGGCATATACAAGGAAATTAAGAGACTGAAGACAAAATTTGGAGTCGTAGAATAATGTAAATAATGTCTTATTCCATGGATAATAAGATTAATAACAAATCATGGCCCTCTATGGTGGCACAACAGGTAAGGACACAGCACTGCCAGCTAGCCATAGCCATTTCTGTGAGAGTTTGACTCCCAGCAGACCTCTCATGTCTTCCCTGCTGCTCCTCTCAGCAGCCTACTTGGTCCATCTGCCTGTTCTGCTCCCCCCTCAGTCTCTGGTGAATCCTCTCCCTGCCCCTGTACCTATGACCTGTACCCCAGTTCTGTATGCATAAGTAAATAAATCTTTAAAAAGGATTAAAAACAAATCAAAAGATTATACTAACAGTAAAAATAAAAGATGTAAAACTGTTTGATACTAGCAAAATATAAAAGTTTGGAAAACAAAGAATCTTGATTCAAAAAACACTATCAGCAGTTACAAAAATTCAGACTTACTTTGACACAATGATCCTCATTTAAATCTTGATGCTCACCCATATTCACTACTCCAGGACATGGAGGCAGGCTGGGGCTGAAGGCCATGAGGTCAGCCTTGGGCGGCCCTTCTCCCGAGCACACCCGCGGCCGCCTCTGCTGCGAGCACGACCAGCTCCCCACGGC